AACTAGTCCTCACAGTGACGTCCAGTGGGCAATTTGACCAGGCTGCTAAGGGCATAGAAAAGAGAAATTTGATTAGATGTGACTCACAGAAGATACCTCGTGTTCAAAGAGAGCCCAGATTAAAGTATTGTTTAGTACCTCTAAAGGTATAAGTGGAGACAACAAAACCTTTAAGGCCCTCACTGAACATGACCAAGATCGAAATCTGATTGGGCATAAAGAGACAAGAATTGAACCTCATTCCTGTCTGACAGAGTGTTGGGTAAGAAGAATTGGTCTGAGGATGTAGAGAGAATGAGAGAGTGGTCTGTAGAGAAGCACACAAATCACCCAACCAGTGATGTCCATAGGTCAGCAGCCATGAAAAATAAACTTGCAGGTAAAGGGGATACATAGCATATAAGAGTCAGGTCACAAACAGGTGTAGAGAAAGAACACAACCTGAATCTACCCGTTAGGTAATTGGAATGGTCATTTGGGACTAATTACCCAAAACAATGTGAGGGATCTGGAGAGTACTGGGGACTCAAAAATATGTAGCTGCAATAATCGAATGGTAGTTGATAAGGATACTGTAAAGAATGCCAACTCTGGAAGATGCAAAAAATCTCTGTCAAAGAGCCAAGTCAAAAAATGAGTTATGGTTGACACCACTGATTGAAAAGGGTTTAACCTCCTCTCAATACAACATTGCCAATATGCATGCCATTACCTTTGAGAAAAGTGACTTTTGGACTAAGCAGAAACCAGGCCAGATACATGTCAACCTTAGAAATTAAGCCCTAATGCCATCTGAAAGACAGCATAACCTGTATGCTAGAAGCTTGAGCTTCTGGATAGCCCAGGTTTACCATATCTGATCATGGCTGCCTCCAAAGAGAGAGAGCTTAAAAAGAAGTGGAAGAGTTGGACACATCAGGAGGGACTGTGGAAACAGAAACCCTGGGTGTAGCTGCTAGACTGGTGCAATCAACAGGATCTGACAATGGGTTGGAACAAATTATATTTCATACCCTGGGTAACATATGAAGTGGAGAGAAGGTTGAGAGTGGTAATCTCATCCTGTTCAGATGGAAAGCATCTATTGTTAAGGCCCAAAGAGGATGTACTGGAGACCAGATTGGCAGTAGTTGGATGATCCAGTGAGAGGCCAACCTACCAATTAGAGTTGGAAAATGAAAGGCAATCCGACTGAACCTCGCAATGCAACATTTATTCTGTTGCAAGAATCTGTTTGGATTGAGACAATGGGCCTACTACCACAGGCATCACCTGTGGAACAGGGGTGATAAGACTAGTTCCGAGAAAGGAGGTCCAAAATACTAAGGAAACTGAGAAAACCAGGAAATAGATGTGTACAATCACTGGTCATTTAAAGACCAATAAAAAGATAGCTTGAGTTCTTGTCCCAAAGGCACAAAGGATTTCAGTGATGCTCATGTTCCCAGAAGAACCATCCATGCAGTGGGAGAAGGAAAGGTGAATAATAGTGTAGCATCCTATTCTATAACATTGAGCAGGATGGGAGACAGCTGAGCCCACCTGAGAGATGAGATGAAAAATAAAAAAAAACAGACTGATGACAAATTGAACTTGAGCAAGAATAGGTGTCGTGGTCCCAAAAGAGAAGCCTGCCTGGGTTGTATTTGAAATTAAAATCAGGATGTGATGGTCTAACAATTCACAATATGTTGACAGCAGTAACCAGTCATCCATGGAATGATGTGTGCACAGTACAATGCAATGGTGGGAACAAGAAACCTCGTACGACACAGCAGAACCCATGTGAAAATTATGTGAGACCGAAGGAAAAAAACCCAGAGGTGCAGTACCTGACCCTTGTGCACCAGAAACACCAATAGTGGTGGAACTCCACTGCTAAGGCAAAGTGCACATAGGAGCCAACTGCAATCAAGTTGGAAATATACAATCCCAGTGAAAAAAATCAACACAGATTGAGGAATGATTAACTTGTAAACCTTGGAGAATCTAGGCATTGATACAGACAAGGAAGATCGATGACTGGACACCAATTACCTGTCTTCATTGGCCCAACAATTAACAGGATTAAAAACTCTAAAGAACTAGTCCAACTCTCTCACTACTCCTAGACCAACCAGATAACCTTAGAATTAAGTTCCAAATCCAGATGAACTGCGAGAGACGGAAACTCTACAGGTTGAGTGGATAATAGTGGGAAAGATGTGAACTGAATGACCAATTGTGACCCAAGGACATGCAGAGCTTCTGGACCGATGGTTAAGATTACTACATGCCCAGATATTCTTGAAACCAAACCCTCACAGCTCCTGAAGGTATACAATAATTACTAATGCTGCTGATGGTCCAACTAATCTATTCTGAGTATCAATGCACCGAGGAGCTAATGTTGGGGATCGGGAATCACGCAAAGGGGTAGAACTATGACCCCCCTGTACGAGATGATGAAATTAAAGACTCCAACATCCACCGGGAAGAATGCAGAAGCCAAAAATTGAACCAACAATGGATCCAGCTCGTCCTCAATGAAACTGGTGATCCTGAAAGTCTTCTAACAAAGTGAAGTGAAAGGAAACAAAATGTTGAAGATGAATTATAAGTTCGTAGACTTACTCTGTCCCATCAGGGGACTTAGACCTATATAGATGATATATAAACTCTGCCATAGAACCCAAAATTCAAGGAGCAGATATTATTTGAGAATCGGAAAAATGCCTCTACCTAGTGGTGGTAGGCGAAATCACAAAGTTCCGACAATGTGTTGGATAAGGCCTAACTGTCCCTTCACGTAACTAAGAAGTAAACCTTCCAACATGGACCACAATTTCTGTGTATGGAGAAAAATAAATAAAAATTTGCTTCCAGACCTTTCAGTCATCAAGTAAGTTGCAGAAAACGCTGAAAACATCACACATTTGAAGAACCAGCAGAAGAAAAACAAATCAAAGGCAGCTTATCCCAAAGTGGCCTCCTTTTCGTTTTTCATGGGTCATTTAATGACTGTGGTAAAGTGAGTTGTTTTGTCAGAGCAGAGCAACTGCAGGCCATCTGCCACATACACCCTATGGAATCGAACCCTGATGCTACGAGTCCATAAACTTATGACTGACCCACATGGGGACTGAAAATCTAACAGACTAAAAGAAGGCACAGGAAAAAGGGAATATAAAGTCACCTTCAAATGCAGCCTCAGAGCCCCCTCAGAGGGCCACCAAAAAATCTGAATATATGTCTCCATCTCACTACGAATAAGATTACTGACAGTCTGAACTGAGAGTGACTCCCCCACAATTCTCATACTAAGATTTTTTTAATTTTTCCTTAAAAAATTAAGAATTTAAAACTTGATCTATTAACTATGTTTTGATGTCAAGTTTATTTGTATACATTGATAATAACTTAGTTTAATTAAATATTGAATGTAACTCTATAAAAGGTTGTGACATGCACACTTTGACCTACCTGACATGAAAGGGTTAAGACAAAAATATTTATGCAACATGTCATTCAGAAGATTTAACTAAAACCTGCAAAATTCTCTGACTTATTATAAGAAAGATATTTTCCCAGTCACGAGGCCAAAAAGTAAGTTATAAAAGTTATACTTCCAACACATGAAGTAGAATAGCGAAATAAAATAAAACACATAAGAAGACTAAAAACTGAAAGAAACGTTAAGGAAGAGACTAATGGCTTTTGTATTTGATAAAAAATGCAAACAACATAAAGGCAGACATGAAAAAAAAATGAGAACTAACAGAAGGATTTACAAATGATCATTTTAACAATTCAGATACTATAGTATAATTGTCTTTCTGCAGATTAAAATAAATAAAATAACATGCACTGTAACACCTCCCTTGTGAATAACACACAGAGCAATGTGTTAACTTTTAACATTTACCCTACGTATAACACAACAACATGTTAACTTGTATTAATTTGTTGTAGCATGTTGTTGCAATATACTTTTTACAAGGTTAGCATTAGAATGATGTTGCAAGGTGATCTGTAGCTTTGGCAGAGTGTTCTCCATAAGGTTGGTGTTGTTGTAAATGCTGTCTACAAGATTGATGACATAACTTGTTGTTGCATGGTTCTATCCACAAAGTTGGTGATGTAGCATGTTGTTGTAAGTGTGGTCCTCAATATAATACTAGCTAGCACATTATTCCAAATGTTAGGGTAGATAATACAAGTTATGTTGTTGTTGCAGGTGCTATTCACTATTTCCCTTATGTAGGGCACCTTGTGACAACCTGCTACAATAATAGCAATGTGCTATAACAGCAAGTATACGGAAAGCACCTTGCAACAATGTGCTAACTTATACTAACCTTGTAGAAATCATTTTGCAACAATGTGCTATAACAGCAACCTTATTCAAAAACACCTTGCAACAATATGCTAACTTATACTAACCTCGTGGGGAGCACCTTACTACAACATGCAACAACACCAACCTTATGGAAAGCACCTTGCAACAGCTACAACACCATTCTTGTGCAGAGCACCTGTGGACTGCACTTAAAAAGCATTCCTTATAAATAACATATATACAAGCAATTATGCTCACCTGTAATACTTTCCCTGTGACATAAAAATCACACTGCATGCACTTGACACCAAAAAGCTTCTGATAGTGTTTTTCACAATACGGCAAGCCATCTCTGTAACATAAGTTTAAAAAATATGTTCACATTTAATGAGTAACATCAGAAAGCTAACAATTAATGTTCTCTTATTGAAACAAACTTGAATGTTAGCAAAACCAAACTTTCACTTGTTTGATCTACCTTCAAGATCCTAATTTATTGACTATTTTCTTTGATGTGTTTATACGTGGTGTAACTTGGTATAATGCCGAAAAAGATAATGCACAGGAGGGTAGAGGGATACATAAACATACAAGTTATGAATGTATATAAGCTAGTGTACAGTCCAATATATTATTTTTAAGTTGATTTTTTAAATAATATGCCTTTTTAACTTTCATAAAGCAAAGCTATACTAAAGTAATAGGTCTTGAAACTGTGCTGAAATTCAAAATATCCAATAATCCTTTAAGTTTTGCAGAGCAAACTAAAGCATAATAATCATAATAAATAAGACATTACAATGACCTATAACACCATCCCCCCAGAAGCTATTTTATTAGTGTCAAATATTTCATCATATCAGCTTCATCAGGAAGCACAAGTGATGTTTTTTTCAAGTTCCTGACAAAGTTTTCAAGACAAGATATCAGATTTAAATTAAATGTTTTCTGGAACAATAGGTTAATTTTTTGTTTTATTAATTCAGAATATTATAAACTTTTGATTTCAAAAAATTGCCCAAATTTCCAATCTCTTTCAAGGCCACTTTAATGGGGGTTTCTTCTTTTGATGTCATGCACTTACTTTCCCATGTATTCTCCATGTAAAACAGTACCACAAGTAGTACACTTGAAACACCAAACATGCCAGGGTTTCTCCAAAGCAATAAGGGCTTGCCCTTCTTTTAGTTCCTGGTCACATCCTGCACAAGCTGTAATTAAACAAGATAATCAGTTAAAAAGGAACATTTTTGACACATTCTTAGTGCAGCTCTGAAGGTTACTTTATATTCAATCTGACACAGAGATATTATAAAGTGAATATAAATCCTACAAGTTTTCAATTAAGAATGAATCAAACAACTTATATCACACGTAGCTACAAAATAAGTTTGCTACAAGTACCTGAAGTGCCATACAAAAATAAAACATTTGCACAACTTTTTAAACTCTGCACATTTATAAACAAAGCCAAAAACTAAAGTCAGAAGAAAACCATTTGCAAGATTATTTTGGGTTTGTTACTGCAATAAATATTTATTAATTGAAAAATAAAAGGGTCTGTTTAAACATCACAATGTGAGCAGGGATTTTAGTAACAATATAGCACATGTTCAACACATTCACAACAATAATTATAAATGTTGTTTCAAAAGTATTTTAGGCAGTGTAGACATGGTAGAGCTTGGGAGTTAATGGTCTGCACCCGTCTTTTTCTAGACTGGGCCAACATTTGTTTCTGTACTAAGGCCTTCTTCAGGTATTAAAAAAAACAAAAACAACGTCCATAGAGAAACCAAAATGTCATTCAATTCTAGAAACAAGCAGGAGCAGTCTCTTAAGATCCAAGACTATATCAGTAATTTTAAACTAACAACACTTCACACTATCACATTCACAACAACACTTATGAACAAATAAAACTATGCAAATGTTTAATGATCATTAATTTTCCAGTCATTTTTCTAAACAAAACCTCACTGCATAATTACCAAAAAGGGTTTTGAGATACCTAACACATAAGTCCAGTTTTAAAACTACACATGATTAGGATACTATTAATCATGGTATCTTCCCTGTGTTTCTCTACAACTCATGTTAATTACATCATATGTTGTAATCTAACCACTACATATTACAGCTTACAAAATGAAAAAAAAACACACCAGATTTGGTTGAAAAGCTGAAATATACTAAAAACTTTACTGCACCATAAAATAATCAAAGTAGTCACCAGTACAACTACTGATCTCCCAGGATTATATATATTTTTTTTGGGTGTGTTGATAAATATGATGTCTGTATGTGTGTGTGTGTTACATAATTACGTTTTATTTTGCACAGAAACCAAATCTCAACTTTTCTGACTTTTTAAACCCAACATCAATAGGGTTCTTTCATATCCCTAAAGGAAACCATCTGTGAATTTTGTTTAGACTCTGATGTTTAGACTCAGAAAGTAAATGTATACAGATATATAATAAGATTCAGTGTCAGTTACACCAACTTCTAATTGGTACCAAAAGAACCATCTCTGTCTTGAAGTTTGCACAGAGGTATAATTTTTCACCACACCTCTTTTCCCAAAAAACCCTTCTCCTAAATTGCTCGACTCGTCAACTTTTTAATGGTTCCAAACAAATTGTCTCGGCCCCGATGTTTGCACGAGGGTAAAGCTTTTCATCCAATCCCTTAGGGAAGCCAGGTATTTTCTATAAAAACTTCTAGGGGGATTTCTCAAATGGGACATGAATTTACATTAGAGCACATAAATAAGCAGGCCTACTAGTTATCATTCATAACTTAGTTAAAGAAATTAAACTTGCATTATAGCAGTAATGATCATTAAACTTGAAAAAGTTCAAAATGGTAGTTCAAGCATTAAATTTGTACTATAGTGGCCCTGTAAATGTGAGCCTCAGGCCCAAGGATTTGCTATTAGATGTATATAGATGAAGAGACAATGTCATTCCTACAATGCTCCCCAAACCTTTTTGGCCAGGAAGGGGGTAAAAAATTGGTCTATAAACAAACTTAGACAAGATACTACATTCCTCCAAGTCCGTGAGTTCAATGGAAAATATTTCTTATGATCAAAGTCCATCCTAGCTAGGCTATCAAGACTTGATATACCTTGAAACTTCAATCTTTGTCTATGGGCTTGTGTTACTTAACATTAGTCATATACTGCATATTGAAATGATACTCTGAATAGATGCCTAGAATAAACTTTAAAATATCATTTTTATTACGTGGATAGTTTAGACAGTATGTTTGTTAATAAGATGTTGATTTCAAACACATCATAATATTATAATTAATGATGACAGAAACTTTTCAATTCTCTTAAAAACATTTACATACAACATTGTGAGAAAACCTCAAGCAGGAAATTGTAATTAATGAGTTGTAAGAAGTACTGATAACACTGCTGTTCATAATACTTTAAACTGCTATACTGTAAATCTCTCACTGCCTTTCAACTTCCACATACAAAACAAAAACCACACCCAGAAACTGTGACAGAAACTGGTCACCTGATTAAGATTAAAACCTAACAGCCAAATAAAACAATCCAGGGTTCCTACACTTCCAAATGAAAGATTTTTCAGGAACTTCCAGGAAAATAACTGGAAAAGTTTCAGAAACTTCTCTGTTAAAATGTAGTGTGAGTGAATATAACACTAGAACCATAAAATCAAATTTTATTCAAATGTAATGAAATCAAACACACTAAACTTCAGTTGACATTTTGCCTTCTTTAGACTCACATTCAGACCATTACAATAACAGTAAGTTCTACAGCAGGACTGTTCCAGACGACTTACAGGTTACAGTTAAGGACATGCAGTTTTGAATTTAAATCTCCACTATGTGTATGAAGTATACGAGTACTCTAAACTTGAAAGTCTAACAAATATGTTTATAGAAAAACTGAATATTTTTTTCAATCAAAGACAAGACTATATCATACAGACCAAACCAGTCACACAAACTGATTACAAATAAAATGATGTACAGATGTCTACCTTTCAATCAAAGACAAGACTACAGTGGACATGCCACTTTATCCACCTACAATAGGAAAAATCCTAAATATACATGTAAAGTTCCTTAAATTATAAGAAGATGCTACAATATATTAGAGATATTAGACAAACTTAATATTTGGTTATTGATATAAATACAAGTTTTAAACACATGTTCCTTTATCATTACTCACTTTGGCCACTTTCAACAGATGATTCTATGCCTTCTTCTTGTTGCTCTTCTTGAATACCATCATCATGAGCTTGTGTCATCACTTCTGGAATCTGCAGACACTTAGTACACAAGTACTCCTTTCCTGTGAAAGTGACCTTTTCACCAGTCGGGAATGGTTGTCTGGACAAAGCAGCAAACAAAACACACTGAAGAACATGTTTCATTTTATCATGTATAAGTTATAATTTCTTACTTGCAGACATAACTGATTTCCTATATTTTCACAGAATACATTTTAGAAAACGTTTTTTTTCACAAATTATTTGCCATAAATAATCTGCTGCATCTCAGTATATTTTCACAAAAACAGAAACATGAATGATCAGTGTTTCTGTTGAGCATTTCTGTTTGAATGACAAATTAAGCAAACTTTTGTTCTTTAAGGGTAATTGTAAAAAACAATAACCACCAGTAGAACAGATAATCTCCCCAACCCACAGCTTAGTTGTTGTTGTTTTGGTGTGTGTGTGTGTGTGTGTGTGTGTGTGTATTTAGTAGTTTCGTTTTGCACAGAAATTTATATTTTTTGAAATGGTGATCTTGACCTATGACTTTTTAACTCCAAAATAAATAATGTTCATCTCCATCCCTATGGGAAAAAGAGTTGTGAAATTTAACTAAAACCTGTTGTTTAGAGCTCTATTTATTGTGCAAAAAGAAGATTACTAGAGACGGATGGACAACTTCATCACTGTATCGTCCCAAACCTTTCCAGTTGAATATGGATAGAAAAAATCACAAACTCATTACTGAATCTTCTAAAGTATAGAATATATGATATATAAAAGTATTTATTCCAAAACAAATAATTTTAATTTTATATAAAAACTATAGGAAAACACTTTGTTTAAACAAACATTTTTAACTTGTGGCAGTGAACATGTAAAATTACGACACATTTACACTTTACTTTATATACTACCAAAAACTTTATTTCTATCATTCATCATAAAATGAACAATATTTAGCTCAGTAAGAACAACATTAACGTAACACAGCTGAAAACAACTGATGACTTTGATCTTAAATGTAAGCCACTCATTTATCTAGTCCTACTTCCTTCCAATGTATTCTTTTAATCTAGTCATACTTCCTTCCAGTGTATTCTTTTAATCTAGTCCTACTTCCTTCCAATGTATTCTTTTAATCTAGTCCTACTTCCTTCCAATGTATTCTTTTAATCTAGTCATACTTCCTTCCAGTGTATTCTTTTAATCTAGTCATACTTCCTTCCAGTGTATTCTTTTAATCTAGTCATACTTCCTTCCAGTGTATTCTTTTAATCTAGTCATACTTCCTTCCAGTGTATTCTTTTAATCTAGTCATACTTCCTTCCAATGTATTATTTTAAGAAAGTTCATTATCAATATATCACAGCAATTTTCTGGCAAATAGTGCATACAGAAAAAAACAAAAAACTTAAATTATTTCATGATAAAAAAGCCAAGATTCCATTTTTTTTGTCTTTTTGATTCCATACTCTAAATCTTTAACATTTTCTAAGTAATTTCTGTTCATATAATTACAGCTGCTATGATAAGCTCTCAAGCTTTTGGCTATTTTTATGTAATTTTTATAATTACTTTGTAATGATCCATCTTATGTCAAATAATTCCAATTTTCTTGCTCAGTTAAACCAAACTTACTGTTGTAAAACAGATATGATCTACTTTAAATACTATCTTAGGACATACTTTTCCATAACTGTTGCCATCTTAGTAGCTTATGCAAAGTTAAATAATAATATTAAGTGTATGATATTCTAAAGTCTTTTCTATAGATTTACTTCCTTCTAAATACATAATCAGGTAGTTAGGCTTAGGAAATTCTCTACATTCAGTAATGTACCATCTCACTGTTTTACTTTTAACAGCATGAACATCATTAATCTCTCTTTATGACATAGGTGCACACAGTAACTAAACATAGCAATACAACACATTATAACATCAAATCAAATACATGTGGCATGTTTGTGTTAAGTTAGCTAGACTTTCTGGCTGAACAAATACCTCCACTGTGAAGCTGATAAAAAACATTTGACTCTGTTCAAATAACCTAATATATGCAGAGTTGAACTACGTATAACTTAACATAAGATAACATCACCCGAAAAGCATCAAACAGTGGGATCAGAACCTACCTGCATCTACCACAGATGAAACAGTTCTGATGATAAGTGTTCCCAAGTGCTGAAACTACCTCTCCTTCAACATAGTCCCCACATGCTGCACATTTAGTCCCAAAGTTCTTGTGATAGTCTTTAGTACAGTAGTAGGTGTCATCTTTCACAAAAAAACCACCCGAAGCCAGTGATGTAGAACACACTATTGTTATGAAGTAGAGAATCATGAGAAACACCCAAGAAAGTAGTTTAACATCCTTTAACAACAATACTAACATTTGGTACGTACTCAGTGCTTTGTTATAACTTGTAAATTAACCAAACAATCATGAACTTCATACATGTGAACCAAGCCAATGAAGTTAATGAAGCACTGAGCTGTCTTAAAACATGCTGTAATGAAGACAAGAAATAATCACAAAGTATGACTTTATGGTAAATCTACCAACAGTAATTACTTTAAACATTACACATAAGGTGTTAGTGAATGTACAAGACATACTGACATAACACACAGGAAACAATTACCACTACAGTTTGAAAGAGACAGTGACATCACAACCTATTAAAAACAAGTACCATAAACATCCAAAAGACAGACTGACACCATAACCAATAACAATTACCATTAAGTGTTGAAAAGAAATTGATATCACACCCAAAATGAAGCGATCGCCATTAAATGTTGAAAAGACACACTGATACTACAACCATAGGAAATAATTACCACTACACACAAAATATATCACTGTACATTTCAAGTGTATAAATACACAGAAATTACTATTAACATACAACAACTGAACTTTCAACTTTAAAAAAAAAAGTAAAAAAAAATACTTAAACCAGAATTCTTATTGTTAGTAATTTTGCAGAATTTAAACCATATTTTAGTTCTGTATTCAGTAGAATCATTGACATTCTTGAACAAAATATTCATTTTCATAAATCAAACTGTAATTCAAACAAAGCCAATTTTTTTTTAAAAACAAATCAATTTAAACATAGTTATGTGCATCAATGTTTACAAACATTTAAGTTTGTTAACATTTCTCTACATCAAGAATAAAGTATAACCACCATACTTTGTGGGCAACCCCTGCAACTACTGTGATTGGACCCCTAAAATCCACAGCTTTACTGAAAAGTAGCTCTTTTTCTGTGTCTAAGATGAGAGAGCAGCAAAGTAACACTCAAAGAAACAACACAATTGTTTGTCAGTAGATGTAAACCTTTTGGGATGACACGTACATAAAACTGCTGACCTATAGTGAGGTAAGCTTATACCATCTGTGACACAATTTACTGTAGCAGGAACATACACTACAGAAATACAGCAAGTTCATCTGTTATCAAAGCACAATGTTATCCTTCACTAATACACAGAGACGGAGGAAATATCTCTGAAACACAACATATATTTTGTAATACTTTCAGGTAAAATTTTAAAATATATATATATATTTTTTTAAGTTCAACAGTTTTGGTCATTGTACATGTTAGTGATCACTTATTAGTTTTGAAATTCTGATGAAGGAAATGATTCAGCACTTAAATCTACACCTATAATATTCATTTTAAAATCATTATTTCCCAGTAGTCTTCATATACATACATGATTACCCTATCCATTTCTTCAATCTGCCTCACATTCCTTTGTTCTCCCTTGTAGGATTTCTTGTATTGAACAATTCATTACATGATGTTACTTATAAACACCTGTTGAACTATGTGGCTCCAATTATTTTTCTCTAAAAACTAATCCAGTTCTCAAAACTCTCAGTGTACTATTTGCTGCATAGTTACATATCATATACAGTTACTTTATATCGTCACATGTTTAAAAGTTTATCTCCATTTCACTGATCTTCTCTTCATAATCTTCTATTCACCTCTGAATAGTCTTACAATATAGATACCTGTATATCTTCTATTTACTTATAAATATCCTTACAGATATTGTACATCTTCCATTTACCTAGAAATATCCTAACAATACAGATATTGTAAACCTTCCATTTACCTATAAATATCTTTACAATACAGATATTGTATATCTTCCATTTACTTATGAATATCCTTACAGATATTGTACATCTTCCATTTACCTATAAATATCCTTACAATATAGATATTGTAAACCTTCCATTTACCTATAAATATCTTTACAATACAGATATTGTATATCTTCCATTTACTTTTGAATATCCTTACAGATATTGTATCTCTTCCATTTACCTCTAAATATCCTTACAATACAGATATTGTATCTCTTCCATTTACCTCTAAATATCCTTACAATACAGATATTGTATCTCTTCCATTTACCTCTAAATATCTTTACAATACAGATATTGTATCTCTTCCATTTACCTCTAAATATCCTTACAATACAGATATTGTATATCTTCCATTTATCTCTAAATATCCTTACAATACAGATATTGTATCTCTTCCATTTACCTATAAATATCCTTACAATACAGATATTGTATATCTTCCATTTACCTATAAGTATCCTTACAATACAGATATTGTATATCTTCCATTTACCTATAAGTATCCTTACAATACAGATATTGTATATCTTCCATTTACCTATAAGTATCCTTACAATACAGATATTGTATTGTTATGACAGTGGAAGTCATTCGATGCTGGGAGCATGCGTGCTAGAGTTTCTAGAAGGATCATGAGTATTCGATGAACTTCGCAAATGTCCGAGTGTTTGCCAGGCACCCTCTTTTTTTAGTATATAAGCCTGGCAAATGAAGCCAGCAATAGATAGATATGCAGATAGATTGCAGATAGAGATAATTGAGTCAAGCAAACAGTAGGCACTGTAAGTAAAGTGTGTGAATCACTGTGATTTATAGTGTGTGTTATAAAGTTTGTTAAGTTTAAAGTGACTGTGGAAATTCTGAGTATTACAAAGTTGTATCGAGAAAGAGTAAACTAGTTTTAATTAAAAAAGGACCTGTATCGCTGAAGTTCCTCAGAAAGAATTTATACCAGAAATTAACAAACAAGCAGATACACAACAGTATATCTTCCATTTACCTATAAATATCCTTACAGATATTGTATATATTCCATTTACCTATAAATATCCTTACAGATATGTATATATTCCATTTACCTATAAATATCCTTACAGATATTGTATATATTCCATTTACCTATAAATATCCTTACAGATATTGTATATATTCCATTTACCTATAAATATCCTTACAGATATGGTATATCTCCCATTTACCTATAAATATCCTTACAGATATTGCATATCTCCCATTTACCTCTGAAGAGTGAAGAAGCTTACACTTCCCACCCATGTATACCTTCTGTTTCACTCAAACAACCTAAAATATTACACAAATACTAAACTAAATTACACAATTGTTTTCCAAGCGCAAACTACATATCACATAGAAATAGTTTATCAAATTTCATGCAATTAGGCTAAGCATTTTAAGCATGAAAATACACCATACAGTAGCGACATAATGTCCCTCTGCCGGCCAGGAAAGGATTTTAACAAGACAGGTGCATGTTGTTTTTCAACATCTACTAAGTAAGAGAGCTCACAGATGTTGTAGAGTTTAAACTCTACATGTAGTTTTCCTTCATTTGATTTCTTCAAATATTTTAAGATCATAACATCCTTACATTCAGCATTTTTCATAAAACTTTTACTCCAACAGCCCAGCCTGGAATTATGACTGGCCAGGTGCAAGATTTTCAATCATCCCACCAGGTCTGTCTTCCTCTACATTTACCTAGGTAACACTTCTTATTCTTAGTAACAATGACTTAATACAAAGTGCTTTTTGTCACTCTACTGTATACAAATTGATAAGTGCCAGTGACAATAGCTCTACACAAAGTGCTCCTTGTCTCTCTACTATGTAGAAATAGTTATGTGCAAGTTATTGCTATTGACTTAATACAAAGTGTCTTTCAAAATGTGTAGTGCACAATGGGGGGATTTACACATTTTGATTAAAAGGTTCGAGAAAACCTCCAGATAGGTTCAAATAAAGTTTTTTTTTATAATTATCTGGAGTTTAAAGGTCGTTTTTCTCAAACTTTTTAATCAATATTAACACAAAGTGCTACTTGTCTCTCAACTATGTAGAAATGATTAGGTGCAAGTTCTTACTGCTAATGACAATAATTTACAGAATACTTAAATCTTCACCTTTAATTTTTACCTTATACATGTTAAGATTTGCTTTAAAAGTACAACGTATATACGGTTAGGCTCATCAAAAAATAACTCCACAAAAAACACAATTATCTGCTCAGTGGAACTGTAGACAAAGCTAAAGACTGTATATATCATACAATTAAATAAAATATAATCATACAAGGAAAGATATATATTATTAATAAACTCCAAACACAATCAAAAACACATATTTTTAACAAGTTTTGGGTTTAACATTACAATGTTAAACACTGTTGTGGTAGCACAAAGACAGACAATGGACAAGCTGCATTCTGTCTACCATGGGGAATAAAAGAAAACCTGGATCTTTTGCATTTTAAAGTCCATCAACTTATCAATGACTTGTAGAGGATGTGTTAAACATCAAAAGCTGGAGAAGCAGCAAGTAAAACTAATAAGCCTAATATTTGTGATGAAACCACTTTAGGATGGAAACAGTTTTTTTTTTAGAAAAATGTAATAAAAAAATATTGTCAGAGTGACTTTAATTAAGAATATCAGATATTTTTATGCTTACTTTACAACTAGAAAGATTTCATTTCTTTTAGCAGTGTGCTACTTTAAAATTATCCTCTTTGAGCAATTTCAAACACTAGAAATATCTAACTTTTCCATCAGCATATTCACTTAAAAAGCTTCTTTTTTATCTACTTAAAACTAAGATATCTAATTTCTTATAGCAGTGTGCAAGCTTTAAAAATATTTATTTCTCTTTCAAAACTAATAACAAATTTGATCCTCTTAAAGAGAAAAATATGTAGTATATGTAAAAGTTATCATACTCAAGTGAATTTTGCTAATAAAGGTTAGCAAGACATATAAATGTCCTGTATTACTCAAACATTTGAAAATGTGGGCTTTATGGTGAATATTTGCTATTAAGAACACCTAGTTTACAATTCATTAGATTATAATTTATTATCTTATCAATAATATCAAATAATAATATTCTGTTATTATAAAAGGACAAATATATTTCACAACTAAAAAAAGCCCTCCTACCATGTACAAGAAACTTCTGCTATGCAAAAATCACAAAAAAACAAAGCCTCAAAAAGTATCCAGAAAATTTTTAAACTGAAAGTAAGTTGTTTAGCACAATAAAAAAAAAGTTTAAACTTGAAGAAATAAACAGAATACAATAAGAAATGTCTTATCACCTCAGTGACATAGCATTATGTTTAAAAGGCAAATGTTACCCAAAATACAGTGTATGTTATCATGTCTGGAAGACAGAAACTTGTTTTAAAGAGCTACATGTATCAATTCTTATCAACTTGTGCATGCAGGTCAATTAGAAAAGTTTTGTCTCTACTGCTTACTTAATTTTCATTTACTGAATTGCAAGTAAAATAAAGTAAAAAGTAAGTCAGGGAGAAAGGGCTAATCAGTTTCTCAAATCATGATTAAAACTTACCTTTGCACTTGAAACAGTCTTCATGAAAATATTTATCCTGAACACGAAGAGCATTCCCAGAACATTTCTTCTTGCAGGCTTCACAGTTTATTTTTCCTAATGAAACAGAAAAACATGATTGAAATGGTGATTAAAGATCTATACAAAAACTTCTTGATTTTCAACTCCCTGAATTTCATCCTCACGATCCATCGAAGGAACTGATGCACAAAATATAGTTTTATATTAAGAAAAACATTTAATAGACTAAGCTTTTACAGTAATAATATATTCACTTTGTTATATAGATTTGTTGTTACTTTATTAATATTTTTACGCTTATACTGTGAGGTAAAAACGGTTGCTGCTATGATTTTGTCTGGTTTATGAGCTCATTGCTGTCCTAATTTAGGATTTTCTTTTCAATAAATTCTTGAAAATGTTAAAAAAAAAGAGAGAGAAAGGGGGCCCAGCAAGGATGCTTGCCCCGGGTCCTGTACTGGCTCTCAACATTCCTGTGTTTACAATAATAATATTGACTCTGTAGTATACAATGATATTTAATAAGCCAAAACATTTTCAGTAATACATGCTATATGCTTATTCTGCATTATACAACAAATATTTAATATGTTAATAGTTAATGTTTTAGTAATGTATTCACTCTGTTCTACAGTGTGTACAAAAACAAAACATTTCATAGAGTGAATATATTATTACTGTAACACTTAGCTGGTTCTACACTATATACAAAAAGACATGAGCTAAGTGTTACAGTAATAATATATCCACTCTGTCCTACACTATATACAAAAACATGAGCTAAGTGTTACAGTAATAATATATTCACCCTGTCCTACACTATATACAAAAAAAAACATTTCATAAGCTAAGTTTAACAGTAATAATATATTCACTCTGTCCTACACTATATACAAAAAAAAACATTTCATAAGCTAAGTGTTACTGTAATAATACTATTCCCTCTGTCCTACACTATATACAAAAAAAAA